CAGTTTTACATAATTTTATAACTTATTGGTATATAGTTGCATAATTCCGATTACTATCACTTCATGCCATTATCACACCGTCTTACTTTAAACGATTTACTAAGGGGAGGGAATAATTTTGAAACTTAAAGATGTATTTTTTTAAAGTATTTTTAATTAAATATATAACTAAAAGTTTATAGTTGTTCACTATTTATTGCATCACTCAATACCATTACCACACCATCTTTTATTAAATTATTAGCTAGGAAAAATGAAATAATTCAGAGGCAAGTTTAGTAATTTACTCAGGGGGAGGGTATAATTCAGACAGATATTTGTAAATTAATTTTACATAATTATATAACTACTTTATTCAGTTTAAACAGAAATTATACAACTATCAACTAATTATTAATTATTTTATAGTTGTAGAATTTTAATCATTATACTGTAATAAAGATCAGACTGTCTTACATTAAGCAATTTATAAAGGAGAGGTATTAATTCAGAGAGATATAATTTATATCTGTCTGAATTTTACTTTTACATATACTGTTATATAATAAAAGTATTTGTAAAATAGTTTCATGCAAATAAATAACTAATTAGTATATAGTTGTTTATTTTCTATCATTACGACACTTTCTTATATCGTCTTTCTTATATTACTTTTATGTAAACTTTATTTCTAAAATTCTTGTCATTTAAACGTTTTTTTATTTTTGTTTATGTTTACAAAGGTAGTACGGACGTTTTAGGTACACTTCTAACAGTTATAACCCGAAAGCGCAATCTCGTTTTGAGTTTTTCATAGGGGGATGGAATAATTCAGGCGGTGGGAATAATCTACACGAACGGCTATTTCCTGAGATCGATCCCTGTTTTGATTGGTTAAAAATTTTGAGTTTCGCAGAGTCCGATTTTAAAACATCTCGTTAGCCGGACTCTAAGACTTGAGGAAATTTTTAACGCATGCGTTATTTTAGTAGGTTTAATTTCTAAACCTTGTTTTAAATTTAAAAACAACGCGCGTTCTTATAATAGCAACTAGTTTGGTGAACTTAAAATTTATCAGAACTTGTTTATTAAATTTGAAAAATAATAAATTACAATGGTGAGTTTTTCTATTAATTATAATAATTCTTATATGATGAAAAAAGATTATAAAAATTCTTTTATAACAAAATCTTATATTTACCTTCATTCAAAATAAATATAATTATATTTATTTTGAATGAAGGTAAATATAAGACTTCTATATATTGTAAGGAAATTATATATTACAATATATTATATATTATAAGAATATATATATATATATATATATATATATATATATATATATATATATATATATATACATATATATATATATATATATATATATATATACATATATATATATATATATATATATATATATATATATATATATATATATATATATATATATATATATATATATATATATATATATATATATAATACATATATATATATATATATATATATATATATATATATATTATATATATATATATATATATATATGTATGTAAACATGTAATGTAAACATGGACTTCTATAACCTTATATAAGGTTATAGAATCTTATATTTTTATATTTACCTTAAAATATATTATAGTATATTACCTTATATATATTACCTTATAATATATAATATATTTTATTACCTTTCAATATATTACATTTAATATATATATATATATATATATATATATATATATATATATATATATATATATATATATATATATATATATATATATATATATATGTATATATATATATATATATATATATATATCTATATATATATATATATATATATATATATATATATATATATATATATATATATATATGTATATATATATATATATATATATATATATATATATATATATATATATATATATATATATATATATATATATATATATATATATATGTATATATATATTAAATGTAATATATTGAAAGGTAATAAAATATATTATATATCATAAGGTAATATATATATAAGGTAATATACTATAATATATTTTAAGGTAAATATAAAAATATAAGATTCTATAACCTTATATAAGGTTATAGAAGTCCATGTTTACATTTACATTAAGATATATAAAAATTTATAGATTTAAAAAGTTATAGATCTATAACTTTTTAAATTTTTAAATTTTAAATTTTTAAATTATAATGGCATCACAAATATAAGATCTATCTTATATTTGTGATGTCATTATAATTTATAATGACATCACATTTATAATAAATATATCTATAATCATATTCATAATATTGATAATAATAAGAAGAAATGAATGTTTATCATTTATACATTTTTGTTCTATTTATACTGTTATATTCTATAATATTGATATAAGATAGGCTGTATGAATATTAATTATAAATTTTATTCTATATTGATTATATCTGTATAGAATTAAAATCTTTCATAGATAGTATGCATACATAACTAAAACAAAATATGTTATATTGATCAAAATGTTGTCTACTTAACTCATTAATAAAAGTCAGTTCATGTGATTAGAAATTTTAGTACAACATTAGCAATCTTTAGCATGCACCAAAAATAGATTATTAAAATTATTTATACTGCAGACCTAGAAGGTTTTTGACTTACAACAGACGGAAAATATGCATATATAATTGCTACCTACTTTTGTTGCATGCTAAAATTTTGATCACCAACTGTTTATGTTATAGTTGTCTAAAATAAAATCAGCTTTATTATTCTATTAAATTAGTATTAAAAAGTAAAGTATAGTTAGTAATTATTAAAAAGATGATAGATAAGAATGATTTTGATTCTTATCTATATGGCTTGTAAAGTGCATATTTAAAAATCTGTCTCATTAAATGAGAGAACATGTTGTAAACTTGTATACACTTACTAATATGCATTTAATGTTGTAAACTTGTTTGCAATACCTAAAAACAAAGCCAAATTTAAGACTGGAGTGTCTAGTAAATTTTGACAGTATTTTTTTTTTGCTTGACAGCTGCCCATTTTCTTACTGTGAATAAGTAGTAGCGATTTGAATTTACTGTGTTTTGCTTGTGGCCTTGAGCTAACTACCTACATATATTTGGATTTTTTTTGTAAATAATAACATAAACTTTATAAAAAAAAAGCTTATTACATCATAGTTGCTTACTTATTGTTAATAAAATTTACTATCAAATATCCCAACAAGCTTTTAGTTGTGATTTTGTCAATTAACTTTGCTAATTACTGACAAAAGTCACACGTTGCATATTTTTATTATAATAATGTTTTGTATAATGATCAGTAATTGTTGACAAGAGTCACAAGTTGTTTTTTTTAATGTTATATATAGCAAACAATTTTGTTGTTAAAATGTTAAGGTTGTTGATAAGTATTTAAAAACTGAGAAACAAAATAGCATTTAAATGTGTTAAACAACAAGCCAACTATCCATGTCTATTATCTCTGCAATATGAAGATGAACAGCTAAAGCGATTTATTTGGCAGATGACTTCTTTCTTCATGGTAAACAATATTCATTCATAGCGTACTTGCTTGCTGCTCTGTCGTTGAAAATTTGCAAGACCATATAAGAATTAACAGCACCTGAAGTGCCAGATGTTTCAAACAGATTTAGTAGCGAAACTGGAAACGTTGGAAATAAGAAGACATACTTATGAAATATGACGAAAAATTTATGGGAAAAGTTAAAGGATTACTACCGTTGATGTGTGTCTTCAAGATAATAAAAAGAAAATAAGACTGGTGCTTGATTAATGCGAACTTAACACCTATGTAAAAGTATCTACAAGGGATGCAGATATCATTACCAATTCAATGAGGGATTGGAGGCTCATGAGTAAAAATAGCAACAACTTAGTGGTTTATTTAAAAAGAGCATACCTCAAATTCATGTGCATAAATGATATTGGCTTTACCAAAATGTTATTTACATAGATCAACAATCTGCACTTACATTTTTGGGTTTAGGTTTGAACCTAGCACCTGTGATGATGAGCTCAATACTACAATACGTTTGCCAACAAAATTTTTCACTTGCTAAATCAACAAGATGATACATTGATAACACCTTAGCAACCAATGGAAATGGAAGAAAGCTGGTGGCACATTTGAAGAAATGGGGCTTTTACGTAAAACATAATATTTTGCAAAAATCCAGTTCATGCACTAGGATCAGGGTTGGTACCCAAAAACCCAAACCCAAAAACCCACCCAAAAACCCAACTTTATGGGTTTTTGGTCTTAAATTTTTAATTTTTTTGTTCATAAATCAATTTCCATTAACACACAAGATTTGATGCTGCTCAACTAACAACAAAAAATGAAGTTTAGTAAGTCATAAACAAGAATTTTATTTTACTTGGAGCAATAATATTCAAGCTTAATCATTTAAAACAAAGTAATCTAAAAGTTATCAGCAATTGTGCATCTTGATCTTAAATGTCTGTAAATTCGTACAAGCATTTCAGCTTTTTCTCTTCCTAAACGATTTCTAATTTTGCTCCAAATAATCTCAAAAGATAAGAAAAATCTTTCTATGAATCCAGTACTAGCTGGACAAGTGTGCAACTGCCGTAAAAATTTTGCAAAATTTGCAGGCAATTTGGAAGACTTAGATTCTTTCATTTCTATAATTCTCCACCAATTTGTTGCTGATGTTGTGCTTTTAACACTATCGTTGAATAAATATGTTGGGAAACAATTAGCATCTTTTAGTTTAAACGCATAAATAAGCCTGGCATAAATTCAGGATAGACTTCATTCAACCATACCTCAGCTTCTTCTTCTTGACTTCTATCCAATGTTCTTCCTAAGTAAATAAGTAAAGTTATAAGAGTAGTAAACTTAAATAAAAACTTTACATTTGTTTTTATTAAAAATTAATCAGATGCAATACTTTAAGTTTTTTACAATTGTTTAGTTACCTTCATATTTTGGATCTGTTAAATTGGCAAAGAAAATGACATGGAACAATTGCCTTCTTGAACCTCTTTAAAATATCATCTTTGTACAAAGCCAATTTTTCATTATGTATGAGGCTTTGCCAAATCTCAACTGCTTCAGACAAAGTTGTATCGTCTGCTTGCAACTACAGTAAACACAATAATTTTGCTAATAATTAGGTAAATAAAGTTAATGGTGACATTGTTCCTAATATAAGTGGTTTTAATATACTTAATATAATTAAATTTAATAAATCCAATTAATAACTAATTTTATTAACCTTATCTTACGCAACACCAAAATTTTCAGTTGTGCATATAAATTTATTGCTTCTCTTTGTATTGATAGATTGTCAATTAGGCTTCCTATCGAAGGATCAATGGATTCCATATGCTCAACTCTAATGTCAACGTACAGAGAATGATTAGATATGTATGTCTGTAAACAATCTAGTTGGGAGTTCCAGCGAGTATCATTAGGTAGCTGTGGCATCAGTCCACCTTTTTCCAATAACCAACCCTATAATAAATTTATTTAAGAAAATTTAACAAAGTAATATTAAAAAATAATTTTGTTAAAATAAAGCTAGGATCTTTTTTGCCATCATTATCATTAGGCTTATATCATTAACACAGCTGTGTTATTTCATAGTATTGTATTACAGAATATGATCAATAAGTAAAGAATTTAATACATACATGTGGTTGGTGATGATTACGAAAATATTTATGAATTGCTATAATATGCTTTACTATAGACTTTGGAGAGACATCCTTTTCAACCAAATTTAAAAAATGAGCAGAGCAACCAAATGTTATCAACTTAGGGGCTTCAGCCTGCAAAAGTTTTCTCATTTTAGACATTTTATTTTCGTTGTCAGTGCATACTGCAAATACCTAAATAAAAAATGAAACATATATGTGTATATATATGAAGGCCTCAACGGAAGAACGATCAGAGTCACACTTTTGATGTTTTGAGAAAATCAATTTTTAAGATTTAAAACACCATCATGTAGTTCAACGAATTAAAATCACCCCAAAAATCATTTTATTAAAATGATTTTTGGGGTGATTTTAATTCGTTCTTCCGTTGAGGCCTTATATATATATATATATATATATATATATATATATATATATATATATATATATATATATATATATATATATATATATATATATATATATATATATATATATATATATATATATATATATATATATATATATATATATATATATATATATATATAAATGTATATGTATATAGTATATATATATACATTAAATAAAGCAGTTAAACATCTAACACTTACATCTTTATTGAACGTTTCTTTAGCAATTTTAATTGCATCCTTAGCAGCTTGAGCGCAATATTCTGCTGTTTTTGATTGGCTTCTAGTGTCAATTGCAGAAATGAGATAAGGTTTATTTTTACTATGGATGCTATGAGCAATTATAGGATCATTACTGAATGTATTCCAACCATCTTGAATTAGGGTAACAGCACTATCATCAGCAAGATCATTTTTCATTAAATTGATTACTTCTTCATTTATCTTTACTAAGAGTTCTGAAGATATCTGTTTTCTATTTGGTGGCTCATATCCAGGTCTAAGTTTTTTAAGCAGCTTGGTAAATTTAAGATTTTCTACTACGTTGAATGGTATATTTGCTGAAAAGAAAAATCTTGCAACTTGTAAATCCAGTTCATCCTTTTTGATTACTTATTGTTGTAGTAACAAATTTAGAAATAGATGTTTGCTGTTGCATCGTCATTGCAGTTGACTGAACAATTGACAAATAAAAAGAATCACTAATAAAGCTTAAACCATCTTGCTCATTATCATCAGACAGGCTAGACTTATTTGATGCTGCAGATGTAGATGGCCTTGACTCTAAAACTGATATATCACTTAACACTTCAGCGGAATTATTATTGCTTTGTTTATTCTTTCTTCTGCATTTATCCAAATGGATCTTAACTCTTTCTATTTTTTTAATTATGCTCACTTTGCAATAATTACATATTACTCTATTTGGTTGATCACTTAATATGGTCACTTCATTCCACTCACTAGCCTTATTTCTTCCCCCTGAATGATACTTTGGCATGTTGAAGACGTATAATCTACTTATATTTTAAATTTAACTAAAAAGATAACTCTATTTAAAAATAGATTTATATTATAAAAAAATGCAATCTGATTATTAATAAAGCTTTTGTATAAGAAAATATACCTGTAAAAAATGAAAAATAGCTTTATTATATTATAAACTATAAATTAATCAAACTTTGATTACTAAAGATTTATACCAAACTTTAGCAAAAACCCATCAAAAACCCACCCAAAAACCCAGCTGGGTTGGGTTTTTGGTCAAAACCTGGGTTTTTGCCTACCCTGACTATTGATGATTTTGCAAAAATCCAGTTCATGCACTAGGATTGGAAGTAACAGTAATAAAAAAAAAGTAGTTAATAGTTATTTTTGTATGTACCTTAAAAAATTTTGACCTTAGTTATAACAATGCCATCATTTTGTGCTGCTATAAACTGTGTTAAAACTGTTAAGGTATTTCATTTTTTCATTTTCCTAAAGACAATAAAAGGCAAGCTAATTCATATATTATTTATAATAACTTTTTTTTCATTAAAAGTTTATAAAATTATTATTGTAGTATTTTAAAGCATATTATTGAAGTATTTTAAAATATATTATTGTAGTATATTAAAACATTCTTTTATTGTTTAATTTTTAGATGTAAGCAGTAGGATATCATCTTAGGAAAGATTTAGAAAAAAAAGATTTTGTATTTTTAAACAAAAACTTTTATTTGTGCAGTAATCATTTTTAAAGTACAATGTATTATTCTACAAATAATGGTGGAAAAAGTTTGTTACAATCAGCAATTCCTACTATTTTTAACATCCCAAATCCTCCTCCACTTCTTGATTCTAAAAGGAAAACACCAGTTGACATCATTCAGTTCCAGCGAAAAAATTTCAAAAAAATTGTATGTATTATCATTTGGTATATTATAATATTATTTTTTCAATTTAATTCTTTGTAATAAGACTTTGTAATGTTATAATTTATAATATTAATACTTTAATTAATGTATAATGGTAATAACTTTTATGTATAATAATATACTTTTATGCTCTAAAAAAATTACACCAACTTTATGTTCTACAAAACGTTTTTTCATCTTAATGTTACAAAATTGAGATATCTTGAATACAAAATTGAGGTTAAGGTTGATGACCATTTCGTGACACTGTGTAGGCTTTGTTTGGTGACAAGAAAATAAGAGATTTAGCAACAAAGTTTATTAATTAAAAAAAAACTTTTTGTTTTTGTTGCAGAAGAGGTCCGGCAGGACATCCCAGAATGCATTTTTGATCAATTAACAGGAGTTTCGCGAAGTGGATAGGCACAGTGTCACGAAATGGCCATCAACCTTAACCTCATGTCGCAAGAAAACCCTTTGGTGGGATGATGGCCCACATATAGTAGATCACTTAGATATAAATTTGGAAATCGAACTATGACGTCAGAAAGAGATATTTTAGTTTTTATTTTCTTCAATTCTGGCATATCAAAATTAAATGAGATGATAGGAATTTGGCATTTTTACAGCATTTTTGATAGAGTACTATTTAAGACATTATATAACTAATTGGAGCAGGTTTTTTGAAATCATTATTATTTTTTGTTTGTTTTTCAATTTTGCTAACTCCGGGAAAAGGGTGCACATTCAGTTTTTTTCAAATAAGACACGTTGAATGTTTGATAAAATGCCTAACAAAGCTAAAACTCATGAAGAAAACTGAAAATGTGTTTGTTTCCTATGTTTGAAGAAGGCAAATCGAGAAATCACAAGTTTTTTAGTGGAGAAAATTCGCACAGTCCTCAAAATTGAGCTTGATTTTTCAAATTTTCAAATCCCTTGTGGAATTTGTGAAAGATGTCGTGTGGCTATTCGCAGACGAGAAGAAGGGGAGGATGCACCTATCCCAAGGCTCTTTGATTTCAGCACCATCTCAGTTCAGCGTGCTGCAACAAATATTCCTTGTAATTGTTTGATTTGTCAAACTGCAAGGACAAATATGAATCAGCGTCATCCTTTGGAACCACCGAAACCCAAAGAAAATTCAAGCATTGAAAAAAGGTGCTCTGATTGCTTCTCTGTGATTGGTCGTGGATTGCCTCACAATTGCACAACAGGAACATTAAGGCAAAATTTAGTGGAAGTTGCTTTGAGGGATTGCGGCAGAGAGGGTAGCATCATTAACAATTGCTAATAAAACTCCATCACCTCATGGCACTGTTCGGCTAAGTCAACCACTTGGAGGAAATCGTTTTCCCGTTGTTCCAGGTAAAGCAATATAGATTTAAGCATAAACCACTTATAAATTTCTTTTAAAATGTAAATGTAGAAAATTTTAAGCTCGGCCATTAAATGTTTTTTAGGACCATCAAGTGCAAGAGAATTGTTTCCTGCTGTGCCCAAGCTCACGGCACAAGACATGGTTGGAGTCAAAATTGGAACTAGATTGTCAAATTGTGGCATGTCCAAATTGGCATCATCTTTAAACCAAGCTACACCTCTCCGGATTGTAGAAAAAAATTTCAGAGAAAAATTCGACAGTTTCGGGAAATCTCTTTCTGAGCATTTTGAGACCAAGGCCATACGAGATTCTACAAAGAATGATGACCAGCACCCTTCACGACTGCTTGTTTTTTGCCCAGATGTAGGAAGTCTTGCAAATCACGTTATCAAAGTAAGGAATGTTTCAGGAGATCCGCTGATGAAGATTGGCATTGATGGAGGTGGTGGGTTTTTGAAAGTATCTCTTGGAATCTTTGCCAGAAACACAGATTCAAATTCTCCACAACCAAAACGAGGGGTTAAAGCCGCAGGAGTCAAACGGCAACTTCTGGTGGCAATTTCAGAAGATCTGCCAGAGAGTTATGACAACTTGAAAAGCATAATTTCTTCTCTTCAACTTCACAAACTTTCCTACATAATCTCTTGTGACATGAAAGTCGCCAATCTTGTTTGTGGTCTTCAGTCCCATGCAAGTGCACATCCTTGTTCATGGTGTGATGCAGAATCAAAAGATTTGAGTCGCTCTGGAAGTCTCAGAACACTTGGTTCAATTCGAGAAAACTTTCTGCAGTTTCAAAGCAGTGGTGCCAATGCAAGGAGAGCAAAAGACTTCAAAAACGTCATCCATGAACCCATAATGACTCTGCCAGATGACACACTGATTTTGGACATCATTCCTCCCATGGAACTTCATCTGCTTCTTGGAGTCGTTAACCATCTCTACAAAAGTTTATGCCAGATTTGGCCCGCAGCAAAGGAATGGCCAGCAGCCTTCATATTCAAGAGCAGTCTTTTCATGGTGGCCAATTTGCAGGGAATGACTGCCGCAAGCTCTTGAAAAACACTGATCGCCTTCAAAGTTTAGCTGAGCAAAGCTCATTTTTTCTTGCTGTGCCATTTGTTGAAACATTGAGACATTTTGACTCAGTGGTGAATGCTTGCTTTGGAAATCACTTGAGCCCCGATTTTGAACAAAAAATTTTACAGTTTCAGGAGTCGTACCTGAAGTTGCCAAATACTTCAGTCACTCCCAAAGCACATTCAGTGTTTTTCCACCTGAAGGATTTCATCCTTAGACACAATTCTAGTCTTGGCATTTTCTCAGAGCAAGCTACAGAATCTCTTCATCACAACTTCAGTTCCCATTGGCAGCGTTACGAACGGGCAAGAAACCATCCAGAATATGAATCAAAGCTTCTGAATTGTGTGATTGATTTCAACAGCAAACATTCATTTTAGAATAAAAAGGATCAATTTTATTGTAAAATATGTTTTTGTTCTTATAGAAATATATGGGAAAATTAACTTTTTGCTCTATAAATACTGAAAAAATGCCAAATTCCTATCATCTCGTTTAAATTTTGATATGCCAGAATTGAAGAAAATAAAAACTAAAATATCTCTCTCGGACGTCATAGTTCAACTTTCAAATTCATATCTAAGTGATCTACTATGTGGGCTATCATCCCACCAAAGGGTTTTCTCGGGACATGAGGTTAAGGTTGATAACCATTTCGTGACACTGTGTAGGCTTTGTTTGGTGACTCCGGCCAAAGTCTGATGCAATGCATATCAAAGTAGCTGAATTGAATGCATGTATTTAAGGTGTCAATATGGCATTGAAATGGAACCCAAGTGATATCAAAATTGATTTTTATAGTGTATTCAATTGGTTAAATTCTGAATTGAATCATGACAAACCTGTAAAATGTGCTGGGCAATGCAAAATGCTAATTTGACAAAGGCTTCAAGCATTTGGAAAATTGGTTGAAGATTATGCCATAAATGTAAATGTTACATGGGTAACGATAATAAATATTGCAGACGAACTCACACGAGCGCCAACAAAATGGATAAAAAACAAAGTTGCAACGCACAAAAATATCATTTATAAGCACAATCAATAAAGAACCCCAAATTTAATTGGGATACCAATTTTTCCGGCAACGTTAAAAGAGGATGATGTTGTGACCCCCTCCTCCTCTCCTAATTAAACGAGTGTTGCAACAATAATTTTTAATAATCATTTATGTTTATCATGTTTAGTAGTATCCTATTATAAAGAGTTGATTTAAAGGCATTTTTTTTTGAATACATGAATTAACTGGTGGACGATGTTACTTTAGATTCAATAAGAAAGCTATTTTACTTAAGACTTTAACAAACCCTTTTGTTGCAAATACCACGCTAACAGTAAATAATTATTGAAAATTGTTTAAAGTATTTTAAACATTTATTAACTATATTTTAGTAAATTTAATTTAAGTGTTTAAATACCTTAAACCATTTTTAATCAATATTTACATTAAATAATATATTAAATCATGTAATATTTTTAAAGTTAAATAGTTTTAGGTCTTGTATTTAAATTAAAAACATAAGCATTTAATAAACAAATTTGTTAAGCATTTAATAAACTATTCAAAAAAATAACATAAACATTTAATAAACTTATTTACTAATTATTTAATTTTAAAATTTTGATTTAAATATTAGCAAAC